TCCCATCGCTTGTGGGTTGTGTCCACTTGTGCTCCAGGTAAGGGTCTTCGAGCACAAGAAGATTGAAGTTGACCAACGCGACGTAAAAGACTAAGAGACAATGCTGTTAGAATATCAGCTCGATAAAACGTTCTGTTTGGTGCCCAACCTGTCCCAAAGGTGTAATTCTTTGCAATATCCGGGCCAAAGGGAAAAACAAAAGCCACAAGCAGACAACCCCCCACGAAAGGGAGCAGAAGGATCCAGCGCAAGTGTCTCGGGGTTTTTGAGCCCAACAAGACCAGAATAGGGGTAGTGAGCCATATGGCACCAACGAAGTCGGCACGTTCCAGAGGCATTGCGACGAGCTTGGACAATGTGACAGGCTGCCTAAGTTGGTAGTACAGTACAAATGTAATGTTTGATGGTATCCGAGAACACAATTGTTGCTATCTGACTTTGAACGATTATCCCTTACGTTCTAAGGAAAGAATTCAGCCCAGTCTCCCTAGCCAGCTGGTGCGCTTCCCACTCGGTATCTCGGCAACTAGTTTCATCGATTCTCAGCTTGAATACGGGGCATCTGACATGGCGAGAGATGCAGCCCAAAACCAAACATACGATGTCGTTACCTGACGCAGATTAGCTGCTGACTGTAGGCCATATGGGACGACGTTGATAAGGCACTACGACCCTCGGGGGAAAGATTCCGGGCAAGACGGCACCAATAGTGCGGGCCGCCCGCACTATTGACATGCCTGCCTAATCGGGGAACGTTACAATGCAACGCCGACGACGCAGGCCCACGCCGTCAGCGGGCTCCACAAACCCGAATCCTTCCGTGTGGGATTGTGGAGCAGACGGATCGGCCCAGCCCACTGCATCCACCTGCAGATGGCGCCCCCCCCCCCCCCCCCCCCCCCCCCCCCCCCCGCCCCCCCCCCCCCCCCTCCCCACCCCCCACCCCCCCCCGCGGGGGGGTTTGGGGGGGGCGGCGCCCCCCCCCCCCCCCCCCCCCCCCCGGGGGGGCCCCCCCCCCCCCCCCCCCAACCGACGTAGGTCTCCATCCTACTTCGCAAACACCTCAGTGCCGTGTAAATAGCATCTCCATAAACTCAATACACCTTGCCTTACCTTAGATTTCTCTGCGTTAGGGCTTACTAAGGGCTCAGTTGCAGCTCTAGCAGCAAGCCTCGGCCTTATCAGGCGGTTAGGGTCAGTTACCGACGAATCCTGGGGCTTGTAGTCGGCGCTGACGAGCATTTTCTCTATTATCAAGCCCTGTGTACAAGGGTAACCCCCCATTTTGAGACTTGTCAGACTTCTACGCAATCTCGGCCCCGGCTTATGTGAGACAATCCTGGGCTACATGCTTCGACTTGCTGTGGGGTTTTGGTCCCAGCATTCAAGCTAAACACGTGAACGGGTCCAAGACGAGCTTGCTATGAACCGAAGACGACTCTTTGTTGAGCGACAAAAGCTTGCAGCATGTCGCCGTGGCTGGATACCATTTCCGTTCCATAGGGCTCCCCAGCTGCTGTTTGTCTCTTCTGAACAACGAAGATTGAGCCACCATGTCGATATTCGTCGTTCCTGTCGAGACGGCCAGGCCATTGGGGGTGCTGGCGGCAGCGGCTCTGATCGTGTTCCCTATCATCTACTTTCTCTACCTTACTGTTTACCGCCTTTTCCTCAGTCCAATCTCTCACTTTCCGGGCCCAAAGCTAGCAGCATGGACATACTGGTATGAATTCTGGTACGATGTAGTTGCCGAGCCCGAGTACACCTTCAAAATTGGTAGATTGCACAAGCAGTATGGTCGGTGTTCATCTTTGCCAACATGACAATCAAAGGAGTCAAATTGAACTAATACCCAACCAGGCCCTATAGTCCGTATCAATCCCGACGAGATTCACATCGCGGATCCGGACTTTTACAACACCATCTACGCTGGCAGCGGACGCAAGCGTGACAAATGGGACTGGATCACCCGGTCTTTCGGCGTCGACGAGAGCTTGATCGGTACTCTTGGCCACGATGAGCACCGCATCCGCAGGGCGGCGCTGTCGCCGTACTTCTCCAAGCAAAGCGTTCGCGCTCTGCAACCACTGGTGGACCGGAACATGGGAATCCTCCTCGGACGCCTCCGCGAGTTTGCCCAGTCCGGAGCCCCTCTGAAGCTTGATGATGCCTATGCTGCACTTACCAACGGTCAGAACCCTCAAACAAATGCCGAGAAAGGATTTGCGTACTAAGACGAAATCTTCAGATATCGTGGAGGACTATGCTTTTGGAAAAAGCGAGAACCGACTCCAGGCCGCTGACTTTGATCCATCATTCAGAGATGCCATGCTTCAGGGCGGCAAAGCCGGCCATGTTCTGAAGCACTTTCCCTCGCTGATGGACCTGCTGCGTAAGCTGCCAGACTCCCTGCTGCTCAAGCTGAGCCCGGCCATGGGCGCCTACTCCCAGCTTCAGACCAGTGTGAAGAAACAGGTGGCCGACATCACTCAAGCCCACCAAATGCACGCGTACGACAAGACGCGCCGCACCATCTTCCACGAGATCCTAAACAGCAAGCTCTCCGACTACGACAAGTCCACGGACCGGCTCTGGCAGGAGGGCGAAGTCGTCGTCGCGGCGGGCACCATCACTACGGCCTGGGCGCTCGGCGTCTCGACGTACTTCGTCCTTTCCACGCCCGAAATACTCTCGCGCCTCAAAGCCGAGCTCGAGGCCGCGATCCCCGATCCATCGCAGCCCCTCAGCTTGCTCGTGCTCGAGCGTCTTCCCTTCCTGACGGGCGTGGTGCAGGAGGGCGTCCGTCTCAGCCATGCCATCTCGCACCGGCTGCACCGCATCTGCCCGGACGAGACGCTCGTATACCGCGCCGGCGATCGCGAATGGCGTATACCTCCCGGTACTCCCCTCAGTATGACCAGCAACCTGGTGCACCACGATGAGCGTGTCTTCCCTGACTCTCACACCTTCAAGCCTGAGCGCTGGGTTAACGACCCCTTGCTGGACCGCTATCTAGTGTCCTTCGGCAAGGGTGGCAGAGCTTGCCTAGGTATCAATCTGGCATATGCGGAGCTCTACCTCACGCTGGCAGCACTATTCAGGGTTTATGGGTCGGAGGAGGTTCAAGGGAAAGATGATGTCGGAACCTTGAAGCTCTTTGAGACGACCGCTGCTGATCTCGTGATCACGAGCGATACCGTGGTTCCTGTGATGCCGGAGGATTCCAAGGGGTTGAGAGTAACGGTACATGAGCGACCTGAGTAGGTGTCAGCGGTATCTTGGACTCTTAGTTCTATTTCTTGGTCGTGACAGGGTATCGAGGAATTTTACCAACCTCATGAGTTGTTCCGGATCATGTAGAAAGTAGCCTGGTAGAGAAGTCTCCAAAATAACGGAAAGACTAACACTCTGATTACGGAGATGACTACCCTTGCGAAGTCATGGACTTGCACGCGCACATCATCGAATATGCCTTTCTAGTCAAGACATGTTTGTTGCTCTCTGTCATTGAATCCTTTCATACGACCAGACCTGGTCCTGTGGGGAGTACAGTATTTGAATGATGCTGGGTATCTGTGAGGTAATTCCTATACTTTAATGCTGTGCACTAACCAGTCGTCAGATTTTGAGTTGTGACACGTCTGACATGAAGACTTGACAAGCTGATGGATTCGAGGAGGTTTGCGGAAGGGTGCATGATCATTACATGCACGGACAAACGCCACTACTATCCACGAGAATCGACCTGTCTGCACTTAGAACGGAGACTCGAAATGTAATACCATTGTCGAATTATCGATGATGTTAAGCTTGCTAAATCAAAGTTCGAAATGTGGCGGAAAGCATGCGAAGTCAAGGCGAGACCGCGACAAACCAAAGAACGTTTCAACTATCACTTGCAACCATAAGCCTTGCACCCTTTAACACACCCGACATCGTCTAAACTCGCACAATCAGACTTCGGGTCGCACATATTTCGTGATCCGAACCCCCGATTCCTCGCAGTCTAGCACTACCGCCCATTGCCACCGCACGCCTTGTAGCATGATCCCCTCGAGCACCCATACTCGCCAGGATCGACGTCACAGCTATTGTGCCAGCCGCGATGATGCCACCACGAGCGGCTAACGGTAAGGATTCCCTCCTCATGCTCGTCCGTAGTCCCTGCGCCTTGCGTCTGCGTCTGCGGGCGGGGTCCCACGGCTTGCCCGGATCGAGGGTTCAGGCCAAGGGGTGCTTCACGAAGCCGCGAACCTGGACGGCGTCGACGCCGCTGGTGTCGAGGGAGGCGGCAGTGTATGTAACCCCCCGAGGCTTCCACATTTTTCAGCTATGGTGGCGAGTGCTACACGGGCGAGATAAGGGTGGCAAAGAGGAGGAGCGCGGAAGGCTTCATGGTCTCGAGATGGTCGAGTGTTTTTCGAAATAAGGGTTTCGGGGATTCCGGGTACGAAAGTGATGCCACGTGGGTTTTAGGCTTTAAAGCAACGAGAAATCTAAGATAGTTGTTATAACAATCCGGATAATAAGATAGAAGGTAGCGTGCACGTGACGATGTTGGCTTCTCAGATTAAGACGAGAGGATGGTGTGGACATTGAGCTTACCAGTAGCTGTCGATCTGGGAAGGCTAGCTATTATTTACACTTGTGAGTTCAGCCTTTCCTCAAGTACAAACGCCCGAACCCAATGTTATTCGTCCGTCCTTGGCTTCCACTTCTGATAAAGTTATATTCCCAGTGAGCTCAGTCTTCGAGAGTTGAGGCAATCTCCGAATGCTACCACGAGTACTACGAAGGGTTGCCCGAGCGATGAAACATGGCTGGTGCTATCGCAGTGCACTTGGAATTAATCTTGTTGTATCGAACGAGTCATATTCTTAATTCAGTAGAAGAATGAAGTACTTAAAGCAATCGACGGAGGGCTTGATCTGCTGCACGGGCAAAGCATCTACCGACCAGTTCCAACCCAAAATATCGAATGTGCTCGAGTCCAGCTTTGACTATACAAGGTCCAAATCTGGGCACTCGTTTGGGTCGGCATAAAAGACTCCCCCCATCATCTCAATCGCCCGACACTTTTCGTCTATCGTGAAGGCGTTTCTGATGCCAAACGAGTGGACTTTGTCCGTGGGCACCTTCAATGCCCAGACTCCACCGGTTGTCGGCCATCCAAAAACCTTGATGAACTTCTCGGCGGCCTTATTGGCCTCTTCAGCCGCGAAGAAATTATCTTTGCCAAGCTCCATCGCTTTTTGATAGCGATCCTGAAGATCCTCGTGTGTGGTGGTCTTGAGATAGTAATCCCAATCACTTTGGTAAAACTTGGCACCGAGTTTGCGCATGTTGATACAGTGAGTATCCTCCTCCGCTGGATCATCGCTCCGCGGTGTTGGGACGAGGCGGTCAACGCCAAGGAACTCGAGGTCTACGCCGTCGCATTGCAACATATAGAAGCCTCCAGTGCTAGGCCACCCATAAACCATCGTGTAGGATGGATAGAAGTTGGAACGAAATCGTGCATTATCGATAGAAGGCTCCATCTGGAAGCTCTAAGGGTCATCGCCGGCATCATCATCCGTAACCTCAAAGTCGGGGATGTTGTTGGTCCGCATGGAGGCCAAGCCTGGTTGACTCGCCGCAGCTGCGGAGGACCTGAATAGGCTCCCCGCAAAGAACATGATTACGGCAAGAAAAATGGATGGCGAGATTATCATGTTGAAAAGGATGTGTTCAGATCCAAGTAGAATGGTGTGTGGTTGCGGTTGCCTGTTGGCATTTTGACTGTGGGGTAGAATTAGACTCTGCTGACATAATTAGCATGCAAATCGTGGTTCAACGCGCTGCGGGCGGCTCACCATGTCCCAGCGATGACTTTATTAGGAAGGTGTCAGCCAAGAGCGGAACCTGTTGGGTAGGTTGGCACTTGAACATGAGCTGCCCACAAAGCTAGACCTTTACTGGCGGGTGTCAGGCTTGCCAAGCTGGTCTTCAGCGGCTGTTGGTTCTGAAATGTCTGTTGGTTGTCAACACGAGCTAGACAACCCCTGCAATGTCAAGAGTCTACAGCTCCAACAATGATGTTGCCTTTCTTAACAACGAATTAACGCTTCAGCACACGAGCATGTCACATTTTGGGTTGGTTGATGCCCATGACAAAAGTCTTAAAATGCTGGGGTGTTTGATGAGGCTTTTCTCCACATCCACAACCACAGCCTGCATGAGCCCCGTACAAAGGATGAATCATGAGACTTTCTGCTTCTTTCGCTATTACCGATCAGTCCGTTCGCACAACTGGAAGTTTCGCGCCAATATCTCAAACATGGGCGCTAGTAGTACCAAGGATTAGATTTAAGTGACCCTGTACTCGATAGAGAAATGATGCCGATACGAGCGGTGACAGCGGCTAAGGAAAAGAGAAGTTTCCTCATGCTGGACAGGACATGGGCGTCGGAGAGGTTACCACGATTTCATGTATAAAACCATGATCGACTTGATGTTATGACTGACTGTGGCTTCCCACGTGAACCAAGTGCGTTTCTCAGAATACTCGTGTGCTCTGTTCAGTTTCAATTCCCGAAATCCGTCAGAACGATGATGGTAGCCCACCCAGCAAGAATTGCCCTTTGCGGCTATTCTTTAGCTACTGCTCTGACAGCGGCAGCTCTTCACCCAACCCCGCTCGAACATCGGGATCTGACCGTTGCTGAGGCTGAAAATCATTTCCACGATGCTCTAGCAACGAGTGAGTACGACATCCGAATACCTTGGACCCCCTTCTTTCAATCAGGCCAAGCAAGATTCCATAAAAGATAAGCCATCATCCTGATCCTTAGTTCTGAAGACTGGCGCCAATGATTCCTCACAGATCTTCCGAAATTTGGCCACAATCCAGCCTGGATACGTGTTCGATCCGTTTGCGTGGCGCCTTCATGTCCGTTGCGATGACCCAAGCAAGAGATGCCCGTGCAACAGCCGATCAACGAAAGTGGCGTACACAACCAATTATGATCCCATGTACGGGATTGCACGAATCAACTTCTGTCCTCGTTACTTCGCCCAAGGTAATTTAAGCGATGTGATCAAGAACGAAAACGACAAGAGCCTTGGGCCTCTGTGGTACGCGAATCTCGATAACTACCTACCCAACAAAGGTGAGTTACAGTGCAGCTTACTATAACAATGAATCTCCTTCAATGATTTTTATCCTTTTCCTAACTTAGGTGTGTGATAGCCAGGACATGGATCCATGAGCTTTTACACATTGACTGGGTGTCCAAAGCCAATCAGTACGGCTCCAATACCCACGTTACAGACCTCAAGATGTGGGTACCAAAGGAAGGGGAGTCTCCACCTGCCTACCAGCTTCTGCAAATCTACAGCCCGAAGATGGCAAAGACTCTTGCGAGATACAAATACGACACAGGCCATTGGATCGCCCAGAGCTGCGAGAATCTGACGTTGTATGCCATGGCAAGATATGTGCAAAAGGCGCTAGGAAATGTTTATCCTCACCTACCTCTCGCCCCAGAACCCCCCTCGAGCCCACCCACGGAAGGAGTCGAACCCGCGTTTACAGTTGGTGATCTTTTTACCATGCATTCCGACGGAACGGTCACCATCATTAATTCCACCGCTGTGGGTGATCTGACATGGGACCCCCAGTGTCCCTCTGGCGAGGAGATAGAAGCGGGTGCTGATGCCGAAGAGCTCTTCCTCGGAGCTGATGTCGTAACTGAGGCCGATTTGCCGCAGGAGTACTTGAAAAAAATACAGAACCTGGGCTGGTACAGAAATTGGTGACAAGTTGACCTTCAAAGGTGTAGCTCCAGGTCAGGCGGTCAAGCCAGGGACCAAGCTACGCATTCTCGGCGTGGGAGACTCCATCACTGTTGGATTCCTCAGCGAGAGGGATGGAGGCGACGGTAACGGCTACAGACTAAAGCTGCAACAAGACTTGTCAAGTAAGTAACTACCCCTGGCTACTTCACATACTGTCTTACGACGTTGTTTGCTGACAACCGAATTCACTATCACCAGAGGATGAAGTTGTCTTCGTGGGGACTGAGTCTGCTGGAGGCACGATGTCTGGTGGATATTTTGTAAGCCACGAAACTTGGGAACCTCCAAACACTGAGCCTTGCTGAACGAAATCTCATCAACAGGCTGCATGGTCAGGCCAGACGATCCAGTACATCTCGGAACACGTTAGCAGCTCATTAGAGCAACGGCCGAATATTATCCTTGTGCATGCCGGCACAAACGACATGAATCCTAACCTTAATATTGCTAAGCAAGGCAATGATCCGAGCAGAGCGGCTAGTCGGCTTGGCAAGCTTATCGATCAGATTGTGGACGCTTGCCCGGACGCCGTCGTCCTTGTGGCTATGATCATCAGTACTTGTGAAGAAGCCCAGCAGGTGAATACAGCTCAGTACCAGGCTCTCATTCCGGGCATCGTGCAGTCTCGTCGAACCATTGGCAAGCACGTTCTCGCGGTCGATTTCACTACTTTCCCTACAGGATCTCTTCGGGACTGCATTCACCCAACAAATCAAGGCTACCGGGACTTTGGCGATTACTGGTATGACTTCATCTCTCAGATCCCTTCCGATTGGATCCGCCAACCTGTGGGCGACGACCCAGACCAACCGACACTACCCGGCATCGATGCGAACGGCGGCTTAGATGGGGCTATCCCGTCTCCGAGCTGGGGAATCAACCCGATCCAGGTGAGCTCGAGAAGCAGCGTTCGGACGGCTGCTCTTCTCGGTGGGAGCGGCGGGGAGCGCACTTGCAAGGGCGGGCCAGTGTGGCGAGCCACAGGCATGATCGCATCCGGCTTTGGAAAAGCTGGCGGCTGGCAATATCGCAAAAACTGGATCGAAGCGGGCAAAGTCGCTGATGGACTCAAATTAGACACCAAATTCGTTCGGTATGTCACTGGACCATCAAAACTTCTCGCTGGAGTGTTTAATTGACCGTTGAGCTCTCGCAGACTGCATGATATGAATGGAGATGGGAAAGCAGGTAAGTCACTGCTGCCGTTCAAGAGACGCTTTGGGCTCTGTCTGACTTGACAATCGTTTCGTACAGACTACATATGGCTCAATCCTGAAAATGGAGAGATACGATGTTGGATCAACAACCTTCCCGCCCCGTGGTCTCCAGCAGGGACGAACAATAGCATCATCGGCAGTGGTGCCGGTGTTGCAGAGTCTGTTTTCTTGGCGGTATGTCATTCATGACGAATTTTTTCTTGCAACTAGCCTCAAAAATGAAGATTCGCTAACGGCTTATAGGATATGAACGGTGATGGCGTATGTTTCCAATCTAATCAGACTCACTTATGTCTCTTTATGCGTCCTAAATCAACCTCTGCTAACCAAACTTATAACTAGCTCGAGGATTACATGATCGTCAACCCGCAAAATGGAGCAGTGAAGATCTGGTGGAACTATGGAGCAGACGAGTCCTGGGTCAATGGATGGAAGTTTATTGACGGAGGTCAAATAGCATCTGGTGTTCCTCATGCTAACTGAGGTGGGCCACACTCCGATTCCCGGACATCAACGGCGATGGTCGCGCGGACTACGTGTATATTGGAGCTGGCGGGTCTCTCTCCCATTGGATGAACACAGGGACTGCAGGAGGGCAAGATGTGGTCTTCTATTTTCAAGGGGGCATTGCTACTGGTGGCACGTCTGATATCTCAAATCTTGTGTTCGCCGACGTAAGTTCTACACGGGTTATTTCCTCACTCCTTTGTGCTTTTCTCTCACGGACTAACGAACACGGCCTGTAATTAGGTGGATGGCGATGGCCGCGACGACTACCTCATTTGGGACGCCCAGGCAGGTCTCACAGGCTTTTTGAACCAGCCAACGAGAAGAGAAGGAGTGCCACTTTACGTCAATCAGGGGCAGGCGAAAACGATTGCAGATGGTATCACGCAAGATCCGAAGAACATTAGACTGGCTGACATGGATGGGTGAGTTGCACTGAGTTGATACTGCTTCATTCGACTCGACGAAGCTGGCCATCTTTGCTGACTTCTCTTGTCCTGGTCCCAGAGACGGCAAAGATGACTACGCATACATTGACGACAACGGGGCTATCTGGCTGTGGTATAATCAGGGTGATGCCGACACATCCATGGTCATCGATGGCATTCGATTTGCCGATATTGACGGCGATGGGGTTAGTTTTCCCTTGTCTATCCTCTTCCGAAACGATAGTCACTGAAACTAGAACCCAATCTTGGCTCACTATTTTACAGATTGAAGACTATGTTTGGCTTCATCCAGACACCGGGGCACCGACCGTTTTGTGAGTTTCATCTATCCAATTTGGTCACCTGTGGCTATCAATGACTGAATTTGACTGACCTTAAGGTTTAAGCTTGAATAAGGGTCCCAATGATGATGATGCTCTGGGGTGGTTATGGAGTCCAGTCAACAATGGAAATCCAATCGCCTCAGGAGCTGGTCCAGGAAACACTGTTCACTTTGGAGACATTAATGGGCAAGTTTTGTGCTTCCTTGTGTTTAATTGCAATACGGCTATGGTATTCAAGTCAAACTAACATTCCAAAAAGTGATGGAAAAGACGATTATTTGGTCCTTGACCCAAAAACAGGAGAACTACACGCGTATTTGAACAAGGGGCCCGATGAATCCAAGGCAGAGAAGTGGCTTTGGGACCCTGTCGGATCGACCGCCACCGGCCTGGGACCCGGCGCGAATGTGCGCTTCGCTGATATCGATGGCGACAGCTATGATGATTACATATTTCTCAAGTCGAATGGTGGAATAACAATTTACAGAAACGTCTGGGAAACTAACAAGCCGCCATCAAGTTGGAGACCACTGCCGGAGGCTGACGCTTCAGGCATTGGGCAGAGACCTGAAGAAATTGACTTTGTTGACATTAATGGGTTAGTTCATGTCCGCCACTGGCTCTTTCCATGCTCTGCACGCCTGCTTCTTCCACACTCTTGAGATCATTCACTAACATGAAGAATTTTAGTGATGGAAAGGCCGACTATGTCTGGACACGTGCTCGCGATGGCGCCGCTAGGGTCTGGCTCAACAATTATCCCAATCAGCCGACCTGGCTCGAACAGCCTGAGATCGCCGGCGGCGTCGGGGTGTCTGGAAATGATGTGAGGTACGCCATCCTTCAGAACACAGGTCGGGCCAGCTACGTCGCCGTCGACCGCACAAATGGCGCTATTGCCGCCTGGCTGAACAGTTGTACCCAGCTCGGCGACCATCCCCGTCCAAACGTCGTCTTCATTGGCCTCAGGGAGACGTTCACTGAGTCGGTTTTGGCTCGTTCTTGGATCATTTACGAGTCCGCAACAGGGAGCACTATTGATATCTGTGATGATGAGCCCAAGGGTGCCTTCGCGGCGGCCACCACTTCATCGAACCCAAAATTCCCCACGAATCTCGGCGAGTTTGATGTTCATGGTGTCGAAGGATGTGTGTACTCTGGTTCCCAGGATGAGCCAGGTAAGATGCAGTGCCCGGGCGTTAGCGGCATTCGATGCCGCCAGGATTCTCAGTATGACGAGGTGTTTCATTGCGGCTTGTCAAATTATAAGCCAAGGATTAGGTGCACTTGGTAGGATTCTGCTCGGTGTTTTTTCTTTCAGAAGTTGTTTCCCTAAGAAGCCAACATATTATCTTGTCTATTAGTTATTAAACATATTTCCTATTTGCGTTAGTTGTCTCATAGCTGAGCATCAAAAACCTTCTAAGCACGGTACGTTGTTGTTGGGAATGACCACGTTGGAGAGGACTGCATTGTTAAATAGGCATTTATCTTGAATGACATCCTTCTTCTGACCTTGGCTCTAATATTCGGCCTGGGAGACCCAGTCTACACTCTATGGTTGCTTGATATCGTTTCTCCCAGCATGTACTGCGGATCTAAACAAATAGAAACGATAAAACATGACTTAGAGATAGAAAGATTCCTCTGTGACTACTGGCCCGAATAGCGATGCTCCTATCCTGCAAGCTGCGACCTAATGAGAGGCTGCAACGTGCATCGCAAAGTGATTATTGGAATGATTCATGTTACGCCGATTGAAGAAATCTGATATGAGTACCTCCTAGGTGGATGAGACACTGTCTACAAGATTCATTCGGGTGGTCGTTATGTTTCGTCCGATGTCTTGTGATATCTCTTAGTCTTACTGCTCCTTTCAGTCTCAGCCTCAGTCCCACTCTCCACTCGCGACTGAATTCACTCAGAAGTACCCTCACTCGTACTTTCACTCACATAAACGCACTTTTACTACTGCGATCAAGCAAGCATATCTTGCAGAGAATAAACACAATTGAATTCGCAATGAATACTAAATCCGGCTGCTAATCGCACGCCACAAAGGCTATATGTGTGGATGGGTGCATATGCGGATGCCAGAGGGATTGCATGCTGACTTCGAACGCAAAAGTCCGCAAAACGATTACAGTCCACGTAGTTGACACGTGGAGAGGAACATACGGAAATATTGAATTGGATCGTCAGGCTAACCAAGAAGGCAGCTGCAGATCGCAAGGCGGTAACTAGCGTCAAAGTCGCACACGCCGAAGACACCAAAGCAGGGTCCGTCTTTCGACATACCCACAGGCTCCGGCATGACGGAAATGCTGAAACACAATACCTCAATGGAAGCAGGAGGACGCTTGAGATTCTCCGTCAGTCCGTCGGCTAAGCCAAAAGACGTTGCTCGCTTGCAGAAAGGTAGTTTGCCACAGAACATTTTAAACAATTCTTGATGCACAAAATTTACTGGGACACAGAATAACTTGAAAACCCTAATCTAGACCTCTGCAAAGCTCCAATATCGTCACAACTTTGGGCGTAAACTCCCGTCAGAACCTCTCACTCCTAGTGTCTCCCTCGCTTGTGCGTTCAACCTCCTCCACATATCCTTTCGACGCTCGTGACCTTGCATAAACCGTTCAAACCAGAACTTATTGAAAGGCAGCAGCTCTCGTCCTTTTCCGTCTGCCGTGGGTGGACCAGCGATTCTTCTCAACTCCTCAAAGTACTCTTCAAAGTCTGGAAATACGAGCGCAAGCTTCGGCCCGTCGCCGCGTTTGGCTATACGGTCTACTTCCCAAGCGAGCTGAGCTTCCGTGGATGGGAGGCGAGAGGATGGGACGCGGCCTGCGAGCAGTCGTGCGGCGAGAACGGCTTGGTATTCGAAAATTTTGAACGTGAGGCCTGCGTTGACGGCACCGACGAAGAGAATCGTAGGATCTGGCGTGTAAATTGTGTGGAGATAGAGATTCGGGATGCGGTTGTTGCGAGGGGTAGGAACTGGTGTGTGCTTGGCCGTGGTCGAAGAGGTGGAGGACTGCGGCGTGAAGAAAGGAAGTGTCCAACTATAACCCGTGCCGAAAATGATGTCGTCTACACCAGGAGCAGACGTTCCATCTACGAAGTGAATAGTCCGAGTGGTCGGTTCGATGTGAGATATGGAGGCGACCCGCTTGATCAGGGGGTGGTTGAAAGCCTCATCGCCAAAGTACCCGTTGAACGTATGTCCCTTCACCACAGCGTATACAGGTGCTTGAGCCACAGAGGTCAAATCAAATGCAGTGTCTCCTGCTGAGACAGAGGCTCCGACTACCACGACCTTTTTGCCCTTGAATGCGTCCCGACCTCGGAAGTGCTTGCTGTGAATCACACTTCCCGGACGATCTCTAGAAAACTCGGGCAGGCCGTCAATGGATGGGATATAGGGCACACTGTAATGCCCGGATGCGACAATGACGGCATCGAATCTCTCCTCCCACCAGTAATCAGTGTTCTCACCATCTTTGCGTAACGTCAACTTCCACTCCTCACCGAAGCCGCTTGCTGCAGGCACCTTCTCAGCTCGCTCCACGGTAGTATTGTAGCTGATGAAGTCACCGTAGCCCCTTCGGTCGACCAGAGAACGGACGTAGTCCTGGACTAGGGACCAGTGTCTGAAAGGCGTGTCTTCTCCGTGGAGTGATCTTGAGTGTTCGGATTGCTCAGTAGGAAACGGTTCTTGAGTATACTGCATAGGGACGAAGTCTACGTTCGTTTCAAGGTATGGGTAGACTGTGGATTCAGAATACCGCGGGGAGCTCGACTTAGGCAGTTGAGCAGGGAGGCTGGAAGGAATTGTTGGCAGCTGGAGGTCTGCCGTTCGGGAGGAGAGAAGTTTGAGCTCATCTGATTGAATGAGCGGCGGTGGTTTCCCTTCACCTAGCCTGTAGATATTGTTAACACGGGTGACTACTCGGTCTGTGATGGACTATGTTTGAAGGGCTCCATACTCTCCATCCAGTCCTCACGTAAAGATTTATTTCGACTCACCAGCATCCGCCAGGAGCCTCACGACGCTCAAAAACCCGGATAATGTCAAATGCCTGCTCTTTGGCAAGAGCATCGATCGTGATGGCACCGGCTGGACCAAGGCCGATGACTGCAATGCGCTTGGCGGGCTTCCCTTCTTTCGCCATCTTTATAAACTTGCAGCGGTGGTTCTGGGTGGCTGTATGGTCAGAGGTTTGTCCAAAAGACACTCAAAGACTGTTTTCCTGGCGTCTTATGATTGAAGAGGAGTGGTGAAGCGGTAATCGGAGGGATTCGCCATGAACCGTAGCCCCACACAGAGCTTTTCGCCGGGATTCAATCCTACAAACTTGGACTAGTAGATCGATGGCACACTCCGCAGAACCCCTACTCTGTCGGTCGCCGCCACCTCTCTGTACGTATTGTTTTCTATTAATGTTGCTGTCTACGTAGAAGTGGGCACTGGCCGATAAACGACACAAACGGCCTTTAGCTTTGCAGATTGGATCCGATGTTGGAGAACCAAACATTCAAGCAAGTAAGCAAACACAAAAGGCCAAGGACGAGGAGGCGGTTTCAGCTAAACGGAACTTTTCATGTTCAATGAGATTTTCAGAGGGCTTATCTCACGTCAAAATTGTAGACTCACGCTGTCTACCTTTATCTTCCGCCATTTAAAAGTTCAAATCCCGATAACAGTCAGTACTGAATAAATAGCTCGGGGTTTGTCTTGGCGCGATGGTGAAAGATTGCGTGCTCGGTAGGATGGCAGTCATAGCCATTAGACTGCAGACCAAAAGTGGGGAAGCTTCGACAACATCCAGCCATCGGTCGGGATGTCTAACTGAATCAAAGTGAGTTTGCCGGCATGGCACATCCTTAGACTGTGGTTTGGGGGCGATTGCGTGACGTTCCCAAGACTATGGCACCGGAATGGGTGTTTGAAATGCAAGGATGGATTGGAGTAACACTCGTACACGAAGTCTCAATATGCCTGGGGTTCCGTAAAGCTAAAGATGGCGTGAAGGATAGCCTCTGAGCTCCAAATGCCGAAATGAGAGGTTCGATGAGAAGTATCTGCCTTTGAAAATATGACCAGACCCCTTTCGCAGGGAGAAGAGACAACAGCTTCAGGTTTCAGTCATCCTGCCACCTTATGCACACGACAAAATGAGTGAGTCGAAGCAGGAAAGCCTGCAGTCTATTGACTCGCCAGGGCAAGTGACACCAGGTATAGAGCCTGACTGGACGCATCATGAGGAAATACGAGCTCGTCGAAAGTAAGTTGACACATGGCAGGAAGAGGACTCGCCGACAAAGGTTTGCTGACATTTCTGCTGTAGAATCGATAGCTCGGTGCTTCCACTATTGTACTTGGGCCTGCTTGTTTTCCAACTTGACCGCATGAATCTTGCAAGTGCGCTCACCGGCGGATTTGCGAATGACATCGGGGTAAATCAGGACACAATTAATTTGGGAAATCAGTTGATGTTCCTGGGAATCGTCATCTTAGAAATTCCCTCCAATATGCTCTTGCAAAAGGTAAGTGTGGTCTAGGTACTGATACATATGATTCTTATGTTCCTTCAGAGACCACGGTGCTGACAGATTGAAAATCAGATTGGGCCGCGCAAGTACATCTCTAGCCAAGTAATTCTATTCGGTTTCGTCGCAACTATGCAAGTATTTCTAGTCGACCGCAAGGGTTTCTTGGCTTCGCGTATGATGCTTGGTCTTGCGGAGGCGGGCTACATTCCAGGAGCCTGCTACACCCTTTCAACTTGGTACACGAAGAAAGAACTAGCCAAACGCATCGCAATCTTGTCAGTGCCATTGGAGTGAGCAAATGTTATCTATTCTGACCCTCTAAAGCTTCTTCGGAATGTTTAGCGGAAACGCTTTGAGCCCTATACTGGCATCTGGCATCCTCAAGCTCGAAGGCGAACGTGGGCTGCGTGGCTGGCAGTGGCTTTTCCTAGGTAGGTTCCTCAGCGATACTTCTATCTATGGTTCAAGCTTACTGATCAAGACTAGTTGAGGGCGTGTTTACTATCTTTGTTGGGCTTTCGCTACTGTTCCTTCTGCCCGGTTCCCCAGACACCCCCGATCCGCTGTTGAGCCCAGGTCTCATCCGATTCAAAGGCTCAGAGAAGAGTATCATACAAAGGCGCCTAGAGGTAGATGACAAAGAGAAGCGTGGCGGCGCTCAAGGGATACGAATTCCTCCAAAGCTCGTATGGAAGACTATTCTGCACTGGAAACGCTGGCCACATTTTCTGAGCAGCTTTGCCGTCTTCTCCACCTGGAGCCCTCTTACCACTTACACGCCTACCATCATTATGTGAGTGTTGGACAAAATGATTCAGGATTGCTCAAAAGCTTTCGTTTTTCTTTTTCTTTTGTACCATGACTTACACGTTGGATCAGGAATCTCGGCTTCAACCGCATCCAGGCCAATGCTCTTGCTGCAGTGGGCGCGTCACTCGCTTTGGTCGTCGTCTTCGTTTTTGCCTATATCAGTGACAAGACCAATAAGCGTGGATTCTCAGTAATAGGAGCTCAGTTTTGTTATCTGATTGTCTTGGTCGTTGCGCGCACGGCACACCCTCATGTGGGCAAGTGGTCACGCTGGGGGCTTTGGACGGCTGTGAACAGCTTCGCGGTTGGGTATCACCCTGTCAACAACTCATGGGTGCAACTCAACTGTAGAGAACCAGGCGAAAGAAGTATTAGTATTGCGTAGGTTGCCATTTTGCTTAGACCTAGCTCCCAACTCAGGCACGCTAATATTGAATAGGATGTGGGTGATGCTCTCCATCAGTGGGTTGATGGTCGGAACGCAGTATTATCGAGGGAATGATGCCCCATTGTGAGTACTTCAAGCTCCCAGCACTGCGGCAGTACAAGGCTGTTCAGTGATCATCGCTGATCTATCATAGTTACCAAACGGGTCTGAGAACACAGATTATCATGGTATCAGTGGGAATGGCATTCGCAGTTCTCCAGGTTGTACTCTACGCTGTTCACAACAAAAGGGTGGCTGAAGGAAAGCACAAGCCGCGGGATGGTGAAGCCCCGCGGGTCTATGTGACATGAACAGGCTGGAAAGCAATTTATAGCGAAACAGACTCAAATACGCCTTCGAATTCCTTTGATATGCGCTTGTGAGCTTGTCCGACGGGCCTCCCGAGGATGTGGAACCCCGATTCTTTGCCCCGATCTCGGGGGAAGTCGACGATCACCGGGTGCGGGGAAATACCATGCAGCAAGGGGTGGCAAGAGTAGACCGGCCTATCAACAAGGTAGTCCTCTCTTTTTGTTTACCACATTGGGTAAAAGGTCATGACCTACCTTACTTTGACTTTCATCTACGTCAGCCCCATGAGCGGCAGTGGGGACCTTTTATGACTTTCACGACCTGAGCCGGGACAGGTCTTTGCAGATGCTGTTTTGGTTTCTCATTCGATTTACTCAATGGGGAAGAAAGTTGACAATGCTCGGCAAGGAGAGCATATTGCCAAGTTTCAACACAAATTAGCTATATCGTTTCGAGTGAGCGCACATGATTTGTCTAGACATTTGGACCCGGGACGTGAGCAGAAGATATATAAGTATGCAGCTTTGTGCAAGATGCATTTCAGAGCTGTGCATCATCTGGAACGAGTCCAAGCCCCTCACGACCCAACATCCTAACCATCTGGCACTAAACCAATCTGTTCTGAAACCTGAGTTGCTACCTACACACATACTATGTTTGACGTCGTCATTGTTGGAGCAGGTCTCAGCGGCCTTCAGGCTGCCTATTCCGCCCAACAAGCCGGGCTTTCAGTCGCAGTCGTCGAAGCTCGAGATCGTGTGGGCGGCAAAACGTGGAGCGTGCCGCTGGCCTCTGGACGAGGCGTCGCTGATCTGGGTGCTGCCTGGATAAACGAGAATACGCAAAGTCGTATGGCGGAATATGTCAAGAAATTCAAACTACCGACAGTATCGCAGAGACTCAAAGGTACTGCCGTCATGCAGCTGGCCGACAGCAGTAGGGTCGAGTTTCCGTTCGGCATTATACCCGAGGTAAGTAAAATCTCTCCAACTTCGTTAGTGTATTTGTGTATACCATATTTCAGAGCTCACTCTCGTCTGTTCAGTTTTCTGTTGAGGAAAAGGAGAACCTCGAGAAGATTCGCGACCATATCCAAGCCGTCTCTTTGAAGCGCGAAGCTCCTAGGAGAGAGGACGACGGGGTATCTCTTGACCAATATGTGCGAAGTCTTGGTGCTCTTCCAAAGACGGTGGAGATGATCAACCTATGGGCTAGAGTGATGCATGGAGTTGATTCCAGCCAAGAGTCAGCAGCTTTCTTCATTGACTATTGCCGACGCAATGGGGGCCTATTCTCGATTCGTGCTGATGATCAGACGGGTGGCAACTATCAGCGCTTTCACGGCGGTAAGCTCCACTCTCCGCAGGCTTTTTTTTACTTTGCTCACTTCAAATCCTCTTCATCAGGCACGCAACAGATCGCAAATGGCATTGCCAACTTGATCGGAGAAAGCAACATCCATCTTTCGGCCCCTGTCGCTGCAATTGAGAATCATCAAACCCACGTTGTTGTCATCACGTCTAGAAACCAGCGTTTCTTAGGAAGAAAGGCCATCATCTCTGTGCCAAGCGCTATGCTTCGCGATCTCAACATCTCACCATTATTGCCTCAAAGGGTCCGGGAGGTCACCGACTCGTCAAAGCTTGGACACTACAACAAAGCGATCTTGTACTATGACAGACCTTGGTGGAGAGATCTTGGATTCAATGGTTTCTTCATGAGCTACAAGGGACCTGTCTGTGTAGCACGCGACACCAGTGTCGACGAGACCCAGAGCTTTGCTCTCACCTGTTTCGTCAACGGCAAATTTGGGGAAGATTGGTCAAAGCTGTACCCCCACGAGCGTCGTCAACTTGTTATAAAGCAGGTAGCCGAGGTTTTCAACGTCGACGTTGACTCGGAAGCGTTTCGTCCTATCGAAGTCTTTGATCAGATATGGAAGCACGAGCAGTTCAGCCAGGGAGCGCTTGCACCCATCACTGAGATTGGCCACTTCACAGAGTACGCTGATGTGTACGGAAAACCGGTTGGCAATCTTCATTTCGTTGGCACAGAGTACTCGACCGAGTGGAAGGGTTACATGGAAGGGGCGCTATGTTCAGGGGAGCAAGGAGCCAAGGAGGTTCTTGAGGCCCTCCAACGTGCGCCTCGGGCAAGTCTTTGACTCAGAAAACTTCAAACAGAAAGACCATGGTTACGAAAACTGCATTTGATAGTGTAGAGAACCGAATATATCCAAATTCAAGGGTTTCACATCGACACGTCTTGCATTGCCTACCTTATCTTACAGGATAATGGATAAACTTAATCAGTAAAACCCATAAACCCATTTCTAAGGAATTAAAGCCTCAGCGGTCGTTTATGGGCCTTGAGCTAAATGGTGATACGATGTGTGATCATGCAAAGTCTACTCCGCAGTAGGCGCACAATGCCACGTCGTGGACCCACCAAAAGGACCTTTTGTACTGTGGTCTCACCATAATTTTCGCGCCTGGGCAGTCAGTTGCGAAGTTGCGGCACAGCATGTGTAATTTAGGCTGCGACATGCTTCAAATCGGACACCGAGATATTTTCGGCATCCGACCAACGAGACCAAACCACCATGACCAACAGCCTTGGCGTGGGCAGAGGGGCCAAGACCTTAGCCCCTGTTGAGTTCATCACTAAATGGCGGCAATGGTTCCTCTATGCCTAGCCCTTCTGCAACTGGACAACACGAGCCCCTCTCAAAGCGTCCAAAACTCCCCCGTTCAGTTCGTTGGGGGTATATGAATGAGAGCTCCCCAACTCTAGGTCAGGTTTATGACGCCAGCAAACTTTGATGCGCAAGGTCAACTTGGAATCTCATTCGGTCTTTCGCGAACTCCCTCTTTCGAGGAACATTTTAAAACATGGAGTCCAAAGATTCGACAGCCGACTCCCCCAGCATTCCAAATCAATCCAACGACCCAACACCTTTTGTGTTTGACCAAACTGAATTCAACAAGTCGCTTGGCTTTGTCCAGGAAGTGCGGGTAGGTCAGGCCCCTTTTAATCGATGACAACCTATACACTAACTTGTGTTACTTTTCAGAACCGGTTCGAGGCTAGCCAGCCAGAGAAATATTCCACTTTCCTTGAAATTTTACAGGAGATAAACGTTCCGCCCGGGGATTCGATAGAAGAGTGGGAAGCTGCTCGGGCAGAGAAGCAGGCAGCGGCACGCAGCAAGCTGGAGGTTCTATTTAACGGCCACGCCGACTTGCTGGAAAAGTTTGATGCATTTCTCCCAGCCACAAGCACATGAACTGAAAATTGTGCTCCACACAACTTGGACATAGGGAGTGAGAACCTTGAGCATTTTGTGAAACAATAGACTTGATGGCTTATGTCTGCGAGTGTGGAGGTGTCAGGACTGCGAACACATGACTTTGGTTGTGGCTCACAACCACAATGCTAGTATGAGCTTTGTCCTGTATTTATTCAAGGTAAATCTAAGTACAAAGTGAGGAGTTTCTTGTAGTCAGGCGTTCCCAAACCGGTGACCGGGTCCCAGCCTGGTCCCGCGTGGAATCCTTCAACACCACAGCCATAGTTCGAGCCCTCCACAATATCTGTCATGACTGTTGCATGAGAATAGAGAACCGGATTGACAAAGCCTACGGGTCTCTTCCCGACATGTAGGCGCGCATCGTTGATCTTCGTGAGAATAGAAGCAAAAACTGGCGCTGATGCGGAGGTCCCAAAGACAGTCATCAATTGGCCGTTGATGGCGGCAACGAAATTAGCCGCGTTGGATGATACATCGGGGACCCCACGTCCCAGTGGATTGAACTTCCCCGTCAAGTTCTGCAAGCGCTCATTGATATCTGGGCGTTGCAAGTAATGATCAATTGCGTCCTTCTGATATTCTGGTGCGTCAAAGAGATTGCTAAACCCGCCCCCAGAAGAGCTGATATGTGTGGCACTGGAATGACGAAAGACGACCTCGGAATCGTAGACAGAGCCATTTGCGCGAATTTGCGTACCACCGACAGAGGTAACGTATGGGCACGAAGCTGGCACTACGGGGTTGAAATTGCCATATGTCGACAGCGGGCCCAATGCTTGGCCAGTAGAAGGGTCAAGACAAGAACATCCTGTTCCCGCCGGACCGCAGTCTGCCGAAGCCGATATGACGCTGACACCCTGCAAACCGAGCTTAAGAAACTCGAGACACTGCCTTCGGAGATATGCCTTCGGAAAAGAGACTTCATTCCAGGCATAGGAAATGGACACAACGTTAGCTGGACGGACTGTGCCGCAGTCGTGGGCCTTTTGATATCCATCATCCGAAGGAGAGGGGTATACACCATCAATAGAGGAGTTCCATGCGTCGCAATATGAACCGTCAAACGCCGCGATGAGCCCGTTCAGCGTCCCGGTCTGCCACTTCTCACCAACTTGGTAGTTGATGACTGGCTGAGGGTATGTCAAGGCCATACTGTATTCAAAATCGAGGTCGGCCTCGGCATTTACGTATGTTCCTTGAAGCTCGTCCTGCCAGTAACCACCGTTTATGGATTTCATGATGGGCCTGAAGCCAACAGACTTTGGTGAAAAGCTCCGAAGAATAAGTCCAGATCTTTGGGAAGCCAAGAGGCCCAAGAGACTTGAAAGATTCCGAAAGAGTTATTCGGGTGGATGGCGCTTGTACTGGGAATATTGTAAAGTTCCCGCAAACAATCAGGTGTGATGTACCGGTGACAGTTGTCGAGAGTGAATGTAGTGTTGGATCTTTTGTGAAGAGATCGAGGACTGAAGTCGCCGCGAGCTCCCACCAGGCGGTCATCTGAATGATCAGGCTGATTCCATCTTTGCCTAATCCTCGTTCCCATGCCCAGATGCACAGTTGGCATTACAACGTCCACGTGGGGGCGAACCGAATCTGGAAGGCTGTACTCGTCACATGCCAAGTGCTCTTCGTTACTCTTGGGGTCCAGATAGACACCAAAGGTCGTTTTGAGTAGCTTCTCAGCCACTCTGAGTGTGGTATTCAGAAAAAGCCATCCCCCATCAGCGGATCGGCGAATGTGCTGTTCACCGATGCCGACCTCCCCGAGCCAAGTCTGAACTGTATGTATTCTCTCTCTTGTAGGAGAGAACCTAGCATCGACTTTGGCTCGAGTCCAATGCTGGGAGAATTCGGGAGAAGATGGGTCGGAGACTCGCAACAGCTCGTGCTCAGCTACATCAAGCCCATTTTGCTGGAGAGCAATTTGGAGAGGTATAATTGTTCCGGGGTTGGGTTTGGTTTCAACCTTTGACCAGCCCAACCCAAACTTTTCCTCTCGCTTCTCATGGACCGAATGAGCATCTTGAAGGTAGTCGGCCGCTGCCGGACCAAGGAAGACAGCTAAGAAGACCACTCTGAAAATGCATGACGGCTGATGTAGGTCACAGCTTTTGTTAAATCGAGTTTGAATCTGAAATTGAGGCTAGAAACGGATTCGGTGGCTGCAATCAAACCTGCAAGTCGTCTGACTTTCCTTAGACAAGGTGAAGTTTGTAACGGCACACTCCCCTTCAGCTTGTGGCAGTGGTACATGCATTAAATACTTTCGACCTAACTGCACTTATACCAAGCTTAGCTATTTGAGGATATGCTGAAGTAAGAGTGCCGACTTATGACCGCGGTCTGACTCTTGGACATAGCATCAATGCTATCACTGTATTAATGTTTAATATCACTTCACAATTTCCTTAGGTGGCAAAACATCGGTCAGTTCCTAGCACTCGCTCTGGGGCTCAGAAAGGGCACGCCAAGAATTTGTTGACCATGTAAGACGAGCCACCTGCGGCATGGCTGCAATCAAGTGAGCACTTACCCTAATGCAGGCATTATCGTGTGTTGTAAGGGATTAAAATTTTGGTTTGTAAGTTGTTGGAACTAATTCATGGCAGATACGAAGCGGCACAGTTAATGCTCATGACTCAAATGAGTTTTTCACCTGCGGGAGCGGCCGTCAAAAGAGCGGGGTATGAAGCTTGGCTTTGATACTAGGAAACCAACATAGACCAGATGCAAAATATGATGAAACCAATGTCTGGATGAGATCTATGCACCTGAACACAGTATCGAGCTCTAAGTGTACACGTAGTTCAACTTTCTTTGGTGAGGATGTATTATGTCACTAGCATATCCTAACTTGGGAATCCACGAATAAAAGTTTGCTCTTTCAGTTCACTGGACATGCTTCTAGTCCCACAATAGCCCCATCACTCCTCGTTCCACAAAATTAAAACTGCGCATTGTGCCCGACGCGAGGTTCATGAGATGTAACGAAGGTAAAACCCCTTGCTGTGTCCCAGGGTGGAGAATAAATATCTTCAACCGGGATTGTGATTGACTCTCCGATCGAAAATGAATAAACCTCTAGTGAGATGGGGGAGATACCTGTGATGAAAACATGTCTCGGGCAGCAACAGGAAATGGAAGTGTTCTTGTGACCGCGCAATTCCGGACGTACATGCATGCTGTGATGTATCTACAGTACTGATGTTTGCTAAGCGCTGCAGGTACCTAGGTAAAGTACGTATGATATGCCTGTAGTACCTTTCATCGAATCCGTTGAGGTCAATGTCCTTCCTCTTCTGATGCCTAGCGTTATTGGGACTTTATTGAGTTCTTTTCCCTGCATAGGATCAAAGAATGCGTGTGTGCACCCACCCTATCGTGATGTTCAATGCTTGGCAACACGAGCCTTTCTTCAGTAAGTACGGATACTTACCCCTGAATTGCTGCCTGGCAGATTAGCTCCAGGAGTTTTCCAAATTGCATTTGCCTGTAATCCTTGTTACCTGACGGACTTCTTACGCTGAGCCATATGCAGCCGAAAGGTTGAACGCTTTCCTAAATGGCTGATCGGAAGTTCCCAATGAGTTCATGTGACTTTGAAATGTCATGCTCTTTAAATACTACGTGTAAGCAACAATGGGCACCTTTCAAGCTCCGCTCAAGCATACTAATAGTTGAAATGAACCATATGTTGAGCTTTAATTTTCACCAGCAGCGCTTCTGGAGGCTGGGCATGTGAGGGCCAGAGTGTGCTTAGGAGCGCAGAAGCTGTGCCAATGTGGCATCGTAGGGTCGACGAGTAATGTCATTCGCCAAGAAGCCCACACAGACTGCGGCATCAAACCAACAACCTTCACCTCTTGTAGGAACATCGACTGATTATTGCTGTACTGTTCCGGTTGGTGTGTTGAATCACAATGCAGCTGGATCCATAGGGCCTTGCACGATACCATCCGTTTCGAGAGGCTCGTCTGGGCAGGGGACCTATCTCGGACATCGACGTGCATCATGCGAAAGTCCGAGAATTTGTCGAACGAGGTTCACAACGGACAGTAGCACTCAGCTGCCAGTTCGGACTGGTGTCATAGGTTCGAAAAGAGGACGAGGTTTCGTATAAAGGCTTTCGTTCAACCCAGGCTGTCAGTCATTCTTGACTCTCTTCCCATTGCAACAGTAACAACACAAATTTAAATCTCATCGAAAACTCGCACCTTCAACTTGACCGCTGTGCTTTTTGTTCTCTGGTATCTTCTACTACAGTTCATCATGCAGTTCTCTGTTGCCCTGATCTCCTCTCTCCTGGCTTTTGCCACTGCGGCTCCTGCCCCGGTCGAAGTTGCCGATGTCTCGATTGCTGAAAGGGTAAGTTGGCGTCTGTCTTATGCTTTTTACCGACCTGTGGTCTATCATGCCTTCTATGAGAACTTCGATGAAGATTGCTGACACTATCTTCTTTAGACCATCATGTTTGTACGTTTTATCCAAAGCCACACGATGGTGCCCATCTCCTACTTCCTGATATTGGTACACTAACGAGAAAGCACCTGTAGCCTGAGTGCTCAGCGGCCTGCATTTTGTTCTGCATGTCGCAGGCTAACCCTCTCTGCGCTGCCACCTGCATCGGCATCTGCGCCTCGACGGTCGAGCCTGGTACCCCGATCGAGGGCATTGACGCCGGCGAGGGTGCCTCCTTGGTTTTCCACGCCGACGGAAAGGATTTGTCCGGGTCTGTCTGGTAGTTCGGCATATGTCAAGTTTATCGCATGATGTTTCCCACATACAAATTATCTTGTTCAGAACTGTATTGGGAGGTACACACATGCTTCAGATAGCATTATTGCTGAACCAAGAATAGAAAAGTTATTGATAAGTTCTGTGATGATTCGGCTTTGTGGAAAACGGCCTTTGCTTTCTTTATGACAATTAGTGATATACACTTAGAGAATCTTACTTGACAATAACAGCGAGGGATGTCTCCACAGAATTTGGACGTGTCATATGATAGGTACGAGCCTTTTTTCTTCCTGGAGAAACTATCATGTATCTTTACTCGTAAAGGACGCATTCTTTTCTCAACCAACATATGGTCATTTCTTTGCGGGCAACACTGCATGTCGCCATCCCAAGTCCTCAAGCAGAAAAACCTCAGGCGCTGCATCAAATCTAGAGGTATGACTAATAGTTGATATTTTCAATTTGAAAACCCGCCCGCGGCTCCTTGAGCTTGAGGCTTTTCTACATGATGAAAACCCGAAGTCTCGGAATAAGTGCAGGCCAGTCTGACTGAAGAGTATCCTGCAACCGAATACCTCTCAGAAACTCCAAAGCCTTCGGGATGTTCAAGAAGTTGTTACGATTATACTGCCTTAGTAGAAACTGTTCAAAGAATAGGCGCTGCTCAAGGGTATGACACTCGAGCGCAGCGATGAACGTTGGCCAGACAAGTATGTGTTCCCCTAGTGCGCCTTCTGGGAAAGCCTGCAGGCTCCGTTGGAACGTCTCGATAGCATCGATACATGAGGGGAGTAAAGGGGCTTCGTTGTCGTTTGTCAACACTCGACAGAGGTACATGTTGAAGGCTTGCTGGCGGATATCGGCGATAAGGTCAAACGTTGGACAATGATCGGGATACAAATTGTAGTAGTAGTAGAGACAGTCGAAACTCTCCCGCGCATGGTACAAAATTGCGTTCTTTCCGGCATCTTGACTGACCAGAGGTGCAGCGTAGACTCGCATTCTAGCTTTTATGAGCAAGAGATCTAGCCAACAGAACATGAATACGAAGGCAATAACTTACTTGCGAATCTGCCTCAAAAGAAAGCTGCCCATCTCCCCTCCATCTGTGAGGGTGGCATCACCTCCAATAGCCGTTACGGCGGACTCCAGCATTTGGAAGACAATTGGAAAGTCTGGCATACCATTGACCATGACAGAAACCAGAAGCACAACAATGGCCAGAACGACGAGTTGTTTGGGCTCATCACTTCGATCAGCCAGGTCCTTGCGGTTAAGCAGCTGACTGATTGCTAAGGCATAGAGCCTGTCCGGATTGACTACGGGCTGTAGGATCGCCCTGCCCGAAAGATGGAATGCCGACACGGCAAGAACGGCGTCCATTACCATTGTGTTTGACCATGCTATTGGTAGGATCAAACGTCGCCAGCCGTTATTGATGTCATCCACTACAACCATCTCGGGGGCGATGGCTTCTGAAACTGAATCATATTAACAGCCAAAACTCAAAGAGGGTTGTAGAGAATGAAAGGTTGATGATAACGACAGTGAACCTTGAACTTACAATGGGTGAGTAGAAACTCTTTCCACGGCTCTAGCACGCTGAGGTTGACTGGCGATAGTGGCTCTGCAGAGACACCGTCGGCATTTGGCCGGGAAATTTGCGATATGATGCATAGGTCGTCGATGATAACCGAAGATAGTTCCTCTTTGTCATCGGCATGATCCTTACTGTTGGAGACATCGCATCTTAGATCTCTTTCCGAACCACCACCCTGACTAGGCCACTCGCCCCCATCACCGTAAGTACGAGCCGAGCTATTCCAGTACACGTCGTCCCAAGCTTGTGAGTCCCGAAACGGTTCAAGCACTTTTGACTTGTCTCTCGCGGGACCAGGCGCCGATGTCTGGGCAAGGGAATGCTTCAGCAACGCACTTCGACCACCAGAAGTGGACCTTTGTCGTGATGAGAAGCCATCCAAGAACTTGTACTTCAGAACGAAGCCGCTGCATGTGATCCCACGGTTTCTACACTTTGCGCAGCTCGGACGCGTGCCATCGCAGTCGATTCGACGTTGGGAGCATTCGTAGCACCCTATTATCCACAATGGAACTCATCAATTACTTTGCCCTTCCTTCAACGCTGGAGTCCGTCTCGAATGGGGATGCAGACATACCCTTGACTTTTGGAACATAATCTCGTTTCTTTCGAGCCATGAATGCTGTCAAGCATCAAGCCGCTCCCTTATCTCGGACATATCACTCTCGTGCTGCTAGGATCAGAAGCCTGTCCAGGCCGAAGTGCGGGGAGTTCGTCTCTCATTGTTGAGCCCCAAGGCCCCTCCGGACAAGGATCGGGGCACCTTGTCGCACTTTCCCCGCAGCGGTGTTGGCCGCGGTTCCTGCTCCGGAGATCGGCATGCTTTAAGCGGCCGAGTTGCAGTAGTGTTATTTTCCGCTTTCTGACGATGTCCGAAAGGAGTAATCAGAATGAGAGCACACATTCCCTATCAAAACCAGACCCGACCAATCAGATTTTATAGCAACGACCTCATCGTTATCTCTAGCTCTTGAGGAGCTGCTACCAATGTCTTCTGCATGATCTCGCTGCCAGTCATCTTGCCGTGCACTGAGACTGCTCGAACGTCGCTACCAAGACCGCTATCTTCTGACCGAGCGCTTCAGAGCATCTTGCGCGATTTAGATGTACTTATGGAGTGAAGGAAATAAGTCCCCATCATTTGCAAGCAAAGCAAAGGTCAACCCAGTAGAGCACGGACTTCTCATAAGCTTTCTAGTCTTCCAAGTTAAGCTTTCCTCGCGACGACTCCTGCCAGTTTCTGGCCTGCGCTCCCTCGTATCCAATCAATTAGCCTTTTTATTGCACGTCTAGATCATTTCTCTGCCCCTTCGCCGAGATGCCGCAAACTACACGACCGAGACCCGAGATTACACGGAATCCCATAACAGCGTACTAGATTGAAAGCTTGGACCTAAGCGGTTCCACGAGTCCTTGAAGAAAAGCTTGTACGGCTCTTCGGATACAATGGCGACTATGTCGTGAAATTGCGAGAGGCGGACCCCTAGAGTTAATCGTCTAAGGATATAAAGCTTCATCATTATCCAAGAATGGCGTAGATAATCACCTCAATACCAAGACTTTTCTCCTCACAAGTATCAACATCCCGCCCATCACCATCACCAGAACCCTCGAAACCGCCAAAATGCTCCCCTCAATAACCCCTCTCCTCCTCCTCGCCGCCGCAGGAACCTCCCACGCAATCAACATCTGCTGCTCCTCCTTCGCAGGACACACCTGCACAAAAGACCAATACAACAACCACCGCCAAAACGTCATCCTGAACCAAATCATCAACGTCGACGGCCGCAACTGCGTCCGCAAGGGCGCCGGTCCGGGTGCCTGGACCAGCAAGAAGGACTGGTCCGAGTGGTACGACTGCCAGCAGTGGGTCGGGCCCGAGCAGCACCAGATCGAGGTCGGGGAGTGCACCCTCTTCTGCGTCATGCCCAGTGGTCTTCTGAACAAGCCTTGTATTTAAGTTTTGTATTTCTTGCCTTGTTCATCGGATGATGGGCTATACTGCAAGTTACCAAGAGGCGTAAAGGGTCGTTAAACTCCAAGTTCCCTTTGCACATCTGGGCAATCTGTAAATTCAAGAGAATCGTGCGCAAGACACATCGCCAGTAGCGGTTGACTAGCGATATAACTACATGCTCATGCTTTGACAAAGAGAGGATAATGTTGACCTTTCTGAAAAAAATGATAAAGATACTGGTCGTTCAACTTATGTGCATTCAAGGCATTTCATCTAGTCGCGATCGATGTTATTTCTGAGAGAGCGTAATCTTTTGTCAGACATTTGCTTCATGACATCCATCAGGCAAGAATCAAGACTCCAGCTCAGAATGGCCGAGCTTCCTCAACAGACAGACTTTGTTGTTTGTACTGCTATTCAAGTGTCTGAACGCTATCTTACATATTGTTTCCACGCAAATAATAACTCATGCTCTCGCTGTTTGTGTAGGCGACTCTCACCCATTGCCCTGGAAGCCGTCCATTGCCACACGTCGTTATTCTTCTGCGTCAACCATCGCTCGAACCAGTACTCCGGAGAGAATTGCAAGATTGTCATGATCTGGTTTCAAATGTTCAGCCATCACGAAACCAGATATGATGATAATGTTGAGGATGTGCTCGTTGGGATCCCACTCACGCCATTGCCTCGTCAGGGTTCAGCTTTGTACCCGTCCAGATCCGCCTAACCGCAATCATACCACATCGCCAGGAGCCTGCACGCCATTCATGCACTCGCAGTGGCCGGGTTCACTCTTGAAAAGAGTCCGATAAAGTGGCAGAATGGAGATGAGGGACGCCGCCAATGTGTTGCAATGAGAGGCTATCACCCAGCAGTCGTTTGCAAGAGCGTGAGATCTGAAGCTGCTGAGGCAAACCACAACGATCAGCAGGTTGATGGTACTGGTCGCGAAGAAATGAGTCCAGGATATGCACAAAAGACTATGCTTGAAAGTTTCATTGCGCTGTCGAAGCAAATCGTACATCGTATTTGCGGCGAGGAATCCATCGAAAAGAGCGCCGACTAATCCATAGAAGAAGAACTCTGTACTGTTGTGGTTGCCCTTGGCGTAGCTGTAAAAGATCACAGCGGCATCGCATGAAAAAAGTATTACCGACAAGAGAAACCAGAGACCGCCGAGGACCTAGGTAAGCGCTTTGTATTTCTTGGCGCTCGGTGTCCAAGCTGCGATTGGGCCCGGTACTTCAGGTACGTCTGGTACTGCAGGTGCGCCCAAGGCTACAGGTACGCCTGGGTTTGCTGGCTGCATATCCCGGAGTTCGTATACAGGCGGGGGTGAGTTACTGTTGATAGACATGACGAAAAGCGGTGGTGTATTCGGGCCCAAGTGGGAAGGACAAATCGGCGCAGAACAAGATAGCGAACGGATGTTGAGTTTGTCGGATAGTAAGAGGCTCTCTGTTTTCTGACGTATGTACAACGAATGAAGTAGTGTTGCTGGACCAAAAAGTCAAAGTTGGTGTTCGTGGTGTTGAATGTGGTCAGGAAGAGAAGTGAAGTTGTGGAGGTGGGAGGCGTAGGAGGCCAGTGTAAACGGTGGGTCATGTCAATGGAGGGGAGTGAGTTCTTCTAAAGATGGTGGCTCTCTGTGGCAGGAAATACTATTTGCTACTTCCTCCTTCCTGGGACTGCCCACGGGCTGATGCGGCAAGGGGTAGATTCTGTCTTGACGGAAGAGCCGACTCCTGCCTCTTTTTGGAGGAAAGTCCGCGTCCGTAACATTGGAAAGTAGGGCAGGTCAAGTTCCCCCTAGCCTGCCTTGCTATCATGTTCTGCAGTGTCCCCTCAGGCTGTCAGGTTAACGTGTGCTGCCTCATCTTGAATCATAAAATATTGGCCAACTATAGCTGAAGGCTCGGCCTCAACTCATTCAAAGCGAGCAAATGATCGGTCGTCCATAACAACCGTCCTCAATGAGTGGGATCTTGGCAGACTTCGTTTTATGCAGGACCATCAAGATACAAAACGTGTTACACCATCTCAAAGCATTGGAAGGCGGGCAGGAAAAAGAATAGACAGAATACTCAACAGCGCTTTTCCTTGGCTGGACTTCGAGCTCAGACCAGACACGTATGACCCGGGTTGTTGGATGACCTCGACTAAGGTACGCAAGCTCTCTGGGTAGGAGAATGGATAGGGGAAGTACCTATGGAAGAGCCTGCCCCCAAAGACACTTGTACCTTCCCAATAGGCAGCAAGTCTCTTGTTTAAGATTGTATGGAAAGCAGCAGCGGTGCCAGGTCAATCCACCTATATCAGAGGGCCGACGTGACTTCTTCCAATCACAAATAGGTGGGTGGGTGGGCACTGTCCTTTCTAATCCACCGGCCTGCTGGATAAGACACAGGTAAAGTCAGGTTGGACGAAATGGGGGAGGTCGATTAGGGTCGAAAGAGACAGTGCTATGGAAGAGACAGCGCGGTCGATGGGGAGGAAGGGCAAACCATAATAAAATGTTGTATTAGGATCGCTACATATCTTCTCGAGGCCCCCAGTCGTGAAGGTCGTGTCCAAACAATGCGGGAAAAAACGATGTTTCCATGCGCCACAAACTCCGATCCGTCGCATCTCATATCCTCTCCCGTGCTTTCGTGTTGCCCACGATTCAATTTATTCTCTGTTCCGGAAAAGCTTGTTGCTTCATTTCTTCAGCCTTGGGCAATGGTGTCGCGAACAATCTTGTTACAGTCGACAGGGTTCTCGAAGACGAACCAGTCGTCGCGAGGAATGTTCTTGAAAGCTTTCTCGAAACGTTCCGGCTCGTTCTTTGCGGAGATACCAATGGCTGCGATGTCAGTGACCTTGCGGATCAAGATGAGCTTGATCCAGCCCTTGAATTCGCGGTAGCTGTGATTGCTGATTAATGTCTACTCGAAAGGCCTCGAGGAAGGGAATAAAAATACTCACATATCACCATAAGCCTCGGGGTCGGACTGTGTGGAGTCACCAATGAGGATGAACTTCCTCTTCGGAAGCCACTCGTGCACCTTCTTCATGCGCTCCACCTTGTACTGCTCCGTGGCCATGGTTAGCGCCGACAGCAGGCCTGCAACCGTCTTCCAGCTTGAATCGCGGAGAATGATGGACCCGGGCGGATAGTATTTGTCGCGGAACTCCCTCAGGAACGGGTACAGGTTGTATGGGGAAGCCGAGAGGTAGAACCAAGGCGACTCCTGCGGCAAGAGTGCTGAGATGTTCCGGTATAGCTCCGGCATGCCCTCAATTGGTCTCGGTTCGTTGACAAAGGTCTCGCGGAGAATGCCGATGGGGTCGCTCGTCTGCGTCAACTTGATGGTGTCGTCGATGTCTGTGTAGTGCCGTGTTAGTGAACCACCGTGGCAAGGTCTTGGTGCTTACGTTGACGTACCTGAGATGATTGCCCACCCTTCTGGAGCAGCGAAGAAAGTCTTCATCTCCAACAAGCCGGTCGCGCCACGCGGCACCGCTGCGCTCGATGTGACTGTCGATCCAGTGGGCTGCTCATGGATCTTGAGTGTATCCGTAGTGATGCCATTCGAGCCCGAGGGACCTAGCTTAAGCTCCTTCTTCTGATGTACGACGCGGAGGTGTCGCGCCGGCTGCACGTCCCACAGGAACGGCATGATACGCTCCTCAATGGTCTTGCGCTCCTCTGCATCGTCCGAGAGCCCAAGCTTCTCGGCGACGCCCTGCACGATATCGACCACCTTGCATTTCGGCTCCTTCTCGAAAATCGCGGCGACGAACTCGGCTTGCCAGCTGCCCAGACGGGAGGGCTTGTATGCTGTGTTGTCCAGGAGCCAGACAATGTCGTCGTCGGTCACAGGCTTGCCCCAGGGGTTGTAGCTGCCTAGGTGCGACAGGATGCCACTGGCGCTCGCGAAGGCCGCCTGCAGAGTCGGCACTGTTGGGTTGGGGAGCTGTGCCTCGACCTCGTCGAAGCGACGTTCTTTGCGGGTTTGCTTCTGCATCTCGTCTGCGAATGCCGCGGGGCTCTTGCCGTCGTCTTTGGCCGCCATGGTTTCGATGTTCGGCGCTGCCTACAGATCTTTATAGAGATGTCTCTCTGTGTGCAACCTTCGCCTCTTGACAATGAATCAACGGTCACTTGGTCGGCGAGGTAAGCAATGTGACTCGAAAAGGGTACTCCTGGTGCCTTGGCGACGAAGTGGTTGGTAGGCTGATGATTCAAGGCTGAAAGGCAGAAGTGTCTCGAAGGTAGCTGTTCCTAGTTGACGGGAAACGGTGGAAGATGGTGGTGGGAGGTGCGGCACCTTAGGTAGGCGACCTTAGAGCAGATGAATGGACGTAGGCAGTACGGGGTAATAGGTGTATGTCTCAGCTGGGACGACGAATTGCTGGGAATATGAGCTTTCAGCTACAGTCTGCGCCAGCCATGAGCCGTCGGTGTCGGCGAGAGGGGGGTAGGGCGAACCGATGCATTATGTCAGAGCTAGAGGCGCTGGCTGCATCGTCTGTGTGGGAGGTGTCCGTGACATGGTTTAGGGCGAGCTGTGACAGGTCGGTCCATCAGATGGCCACTGGCAAACTGCCCAAGTTGGTCGCAGCAAAGGCTTGGCTTAATATGCGCTTTCGAGACCCTTGTGACCGCCAGCCGTAAATGACCTAGGGAGGACCAGGCAATGACGATGGACCGATCAGCTTGTAGGCGAAGGTGTGTCGGAGGCGTGCGAAATGTGGAGGGATGGAGGGGTTTAGCAGTTGCAAGTCGCAGTGGCAGTCGCACCGTGACATTGGAAGGGGAAAGGTCGCAGGCGGGGGCGGGAGGCATCAGGGACTCACCCGCCTTACCTAAGGTACCTTACCTCATCAGGCTTCTCTGGGAGCCCCTGCGATTCGATGGCCATCAAAAAAAAGGCATGATCCGAAAATGTCCCGATTGGCACGTGTTCGCGTCACTCGCCAGGGATCCTCCAAGTCAAAGAATCACGTGGCGCTAGCTCTCTCAAAACTCAAAGACACAACAAAAGTAACTGTGAAAGAACATGCCAAAAACAATGGTCTTGTCCAAGGCATCGTGCAAAAGGGCCGTAGATGCAAAAGAAATGTCCCTGGCAAGGCTCGAACTTGCGACCTTTGGATATCCCTAGATACTCTAGCGTCATATGTATGTGATATGAGACCAACGCTCTACCGACTGAGCCACAGAGACTGGTTGATTGTGGCTGAGCAGAACAGTAAGTAATTCAAGAAGGGCTCTCAGATGCCAGAGCCGAGCAAGTCGGTCGTTTACTCCGCAGATTAATCGCTTTTTGTTTTAATTTCCCTTGCTGACACTAAACCCTCTCTTGAAATGATGAAAATCAGCCAGGTTCTCTCTCAGTTGTCGCCGTCTTCGATGTCTCTGGTCGGGCTGACCGGAGCAGGTATTTGTAGGTTGTCAGACCGAGATCATGGAATAGGCTACAGATAGGCAATGGTAAAGCCAGGGAAGCTGTTCAGGCAAATGTATCCAGTAACAATGACTCAATCTTAGAGATACCGTATCTATATCAACCAAGTAGAAAAGGTTGTGCAAACTCGCATTTCTTGGCATCTTCTCATCCAGTTCATTCACAGAAAGCACAGCATCCGGTCGTCGATCAAGCCGCCTCAGTCAGAAGCCACAGTGATAACCGCAAAAATGACCTCAACCTTACAAATATCGTTTTCTATCACTCGCATAACCACCTCCTCGGCCATATTGCATATAGATGGCATCAACTTCCTCACAGACCCCGTCTTCTCTCCGGCCGGCAAAGAGTGGGATATGGGCCCAACCGTGCTCAAGAACACCAAAGGCCCGGCCCTAAAGCTCAAAGACCTCCCTGTTATTGACTTCGTGCTTCTAAGTCATGAAGATCACCCGGATAACTTGGACGACATCGGTCGGCGCCATCTTGACGACCGTAGGGTTCTCACGGCACAGGACGGAGCCCGGAAACTCGCGCCTCGTCCTGGTGTCAAGGCTCTCAAGCCATGAGAAACTAAGGCACTTCTTCTGGGAGGACATAACTTTGAGGTGACTGGGATACCGCGTCAGCATCTTCCCGGATGTGGAGTAATTGGCTTTGTGCTGAGAGCAGTAACTTTTGGAGAAACAAACGGCCTGCCCAACGTCATTTACATCTCTAGCGACACAGTCTAACTCGAGGAGATCCCCAAAGTATTGGAGAAATACCACGTCTCAGTTGCGATCCTCAACGTTGGTGCAGTGGAGGTTGCGGTATCAGACCCTCCTTTGCTGGTCACCATGGATGGGAAACAGGCTGCGCGGCTGTTCCGCGAGATTGGAGCGGATGTCCTGGTGCCAATGTATTACGAATTCTGGGAACAATTGGCGGAGAACGGAGACCGGCTGAGAGTGGTATTTGAACAGGAAGATGTTTCTGACCAGGTGCGCTGGCTGGAGCTAGGGGCTGAGACAAAGATATTTCAGTGAAATAGGAATAATGCTCCATTGCTACCATCAAGTCTCAAAATCTATGATGTGAAATGGACGTCAGACGTCACTTTTCACGGCGAGAACTCTTTAGCTAGTGATGCTACGAGCCCAGGTATCTCAACTGCTCGGGTATCATCATAAAGCTCTCCCACAGAGCCGGGCTGCAGTAACCCTCGTTCTGCTCGCCTCGATGTCTGAGAATGAGCGCATAGCAAAGCAATGCAGCCTACTCTTTATGAGTATTGTCTACCTTGTTTGGAGTCACACCCGTCTCAGCGTCGACAACGCCATGACCCATGTGTGCTGAGTGAACAAGGGAAGGATTCTCGGCCTTGAGCTTGGCAAACTCCTTCTCGGCCTCCCACGCCCAAATACTGTCGCTAGCAAAGACGAGGTCCATCTCCTCCAAAGTGCGTTGGTTCGATTCGGGGTAAAGGGCCCAAACAACAACGAGGGAGACGAAGTTGACGGCACCAAAAAGGTAAAGTGTCTTTTCGTTGAGCTTCTCGAATATTGTGGGGAGAAGAAGCACCTGAAAACGGTCTCAGTAGTCAGAAAAACGATAACACGAAGGACAATTGTTGTTCACTCACCGTCCATCCGTTTCCTATCGACCATCCAACAACACCCCATGCATTGCCCTTGGCACGTACTTGGAGAGGAAATATCTCTGCGGGATATAACCAGGGGACCGTCAACCAAGTCGCACCAAAGACCGCGGTATACAAGAATACGAAGAAGGTTGCGGCACCACCCAGTCCAGAACGGTTACCGGGACTAGCGTTAAGAGTCGCTCTTGCCAAGCCTCCGGCACAGAACATGCAGATGCCTTGGGCAACAGCACCCCAGTACAGCGTCCAACGTCGGCCGATACGGTCTATGGTAAACACGCAAATCAAGGTTGCAAACTAGATAGTGTCAGCTTCTCCGACCATAACACAGAAAACGGGGGAAGACCTACCATGTAGGTAATGTTGTTCACACCACTGACCCAAAGACGCTGCTCAGAGCTGATGCCGGCAATCGTGAAGATCGTGGGACCGTAAATCGTGATTCCCGCAATGCCCACCCACTCTTGCAGAATTTGAAGCCAGATAACAAGCTGAACACGGCGACCGGTGTGCAGTTTGCCCGAGCCTATCCCGAAAAACATGGCAAAGTAACTCTGCTGCTTGGCGGTGTCATGCTCCAGGTCTCTAATGCTGATGATCTCCTGCAGCTCTGCTTCTGCAGCCTTTGCATCTTCACCTTCGTTTCCGCGGAGTCTGCCCAAGATGAATCTAGCCTCCTCTTCTCGACCTACTTTCACGAGCCACCGTGGAGACTCTGGCATGAACCAAATCATGATGAACAGAGCGATGAGAGGGATGATCTGAAAGGCGATGGGGAATCTCCAGATGAAGGATGAATTGGGGTCCTCATACTTGGACGTGCCGCTATCATCTGGTTAGGTGCCAATAATGTTGACTTGGTGTAGCAAACTCACAATTGTAGCCAATATGCAACAACAACACCAAAGATGTTGAGAGTGAATTCTATGGCAACAAACTTGCCTCTGGATGTATGAGAAGCTACTTCTGTTGCCCAGACTGGAGTGATGGCGTTCAACATGCCGGTGCCGATGCCATTCAAGACTCGTGCTAGGATCAGCAGTCAGGTCAGCGTCTCAACGTCAGAATAAAGATTGGCGACTATGCCAACGTACCACAAAACATCCAATCCGCATTTTGGGCAGCGGTTTGAAGAGCCGCGGTGCAGATAGACCAGATGCATGCTACGGCAATAGTCTTGAGGCGGCCATATCTATCACCGAACCAGCCTCCAATTAGGCATCCCACGAGCGTTCCGGGAAGGTAGTAAACGGCAACCTAAAAATGTGTGAGTCCAGAAGGCATTCAAAGCGGTTGAATAAATACTTACGATCCCGCCCTGCAACAATGGCTTATCAACAACAACAATCTTTTGCTGCTCGTCCCAGTGACCAAATCCCATTAACTCAGCATAGTTCCGTGCAGTGTTAACGCCGCCCATCAACCCTGTAGTACCCGTTATCAAACTTGTTTCACTCAAGCGATGGTAAGGGTTTCCACCTGCCTTGGTCGTAGCCGAAGAAGAACACGCTCAGAGAGGCTACGAAGCACACTGTATTGAGCAGCGAGCCCTTGTAGAGCCTGTTGGCGGCACTGTACTTCGCAAGGAAACCCGTTGGACTTGGCATTTTGGTCTACTGTCTTGTGTCTTTTCTGTCATGGAAAGTCGTACAAGCATGCTGCTGCAACGTCTGGAACACAAGATCAGCAAAAAGAGTCCAAAGAGGAGGTTGAACTCCGGAGAGGTCACAGAGGTAGTACTTATGTAAGATTTAAATCTAGATACTTAATTCCGAGGGTCCATTGCATCGCCTTTACCCCCACCCATCCCTCCTCCAAGTTTGCTCTCCCCACACCCCACGTTTTGAACCGCACGTATCCCATCGACTCTACGGGAACAACAAAACCCGGCGGGTGACATCATTCCAACATCCTACCAGCGCATTTGCACCATAACAACCTTCAACGGCGGCTCCGCACGAGTCTGGCGCTCACTCAACCGATTCCCGGCAGGCAACATACCGAACGACCGCAAAGAAAGCTCGGGGCGTTGGCCGGTTTGTCGCCGAAGCCTGCAGGAAAGCTTACATTGGGGGTGGAGACTTGCATGTTTTTTACCCAACGGCTGATCCGCCATGAGAGGGACTGAGCACAGCGAGCGGCTGTAAACGGGATTATCATTGCTTTTTGTGGCATGATCAAGTGACGTCGAGTGAGGAGCCAACCCCAGGTTACACTAACAGGCCAAGTCGCGGCGGACAGAACGCCGCATTGCTCCCTGACATCGCACGATGCCATCGCCGGCTTTTGCTCTCTATACCTATGCCAGACCAATGATTCGAACTTACTGTTTAGGGTGCACCGCTACCTTGCATGCTCGTGACAGGGACCCAAGGACTGAGATCTTGAAGGATCGCTCCGCATTGCCCCCGTCTTAATGACTCAGATACTCCCGATGATCGGTCATCTATGCCGCCTTCCTCGGGCCTGCTCCGATTCTCCGACTTGTCCCTCCGGGGCCGGAAGCAGCACATGAGTGCCTGAAATTGACCGCGCCTAGTCAATGCCTGCAAGCCTATGTGTTGGCAATGGTGAAACGCCATTGAGCTTCGCGATGCCAAAGTGAGAGTTGGGTAAGGGAAATGATATAGGCAGTGTACTTTTTGACCATTGGTGGCATCTGTGTGAATTCTCACTAATTCATACAAGTTGTGTATGTCAATTCCCGCCAGGTAGGATGCATTTCTCTTCTTACTTGTTGCCGCATTAAGGGATAGTGTACAAACGTCCGTTAACATTCCCAGTACCCAATAATTCGAGCCCCTTGCCGACATCCTCGAACGGAATCTCCTTCATGAACGGTCTTATCGACCCTGATGCGATCAAATCCAACACTTCTGTAAACTCTTGAATGCTAGCGCTCGTCGAGCCCTTGAGCGAGACATTCTGCGTGACAATCCCCGTCGTCGTGATTTGCACGCTCTGTGCCGCAAGCCCCACCAACACCACACACCCGCCAGGCCTCACCGATGATATCGCAGTCTCAACCGTCTTCTGCGCTCCTGCAAAGTCCAAGATAACATCGAATATTTCGCCTGAGAACGTGCTCAAGTCTGTGGCACAGTCGACAGCACCGAATTCCTTGGCCTGTTCAAACTTGTTCGTGTTGATGTCGACGCCAAAGACTCTAGCACCACGGTGTGCCGCAATCGCCAGTCCGTTCAACCCCAAGCCGCCTAGACCAATGACAGCAACCGTGTGCGATGCAGATACTCGACCCTCCGTGACGACGGCGTGGTAGGCAGTAGCAACGGAATCCGTAGCCACAGCAGCCTCGGCAAACCCCACTTGATCTGGGATCTTGACAAGATTCTTGATGGGAGCGACAGCATATTCGGCGTATCCACCGTCGCAGCCGACACCTAGAGCTTCGTGGAAATTCCTCTCTTGGATTGGATGGCCTACACAGGCAACAGCTACCCTGTCATCGACTTTGAATGATGTGAATGAAGAGTCGCCTAGCTCAGTAATGATACCAGAGACCTCATGGCCCAAAGTCACGGGCAGCGCGCACATCCACGCTGCGCCGCCGCCGTAGAGGACGTGGGTGTCGGAGTGGCAGAGCCCGGCGGCTTTGACGCGGATGAGGGCCTGTTCGGGGCCCGGAGATGGAATGGGGACATCTTGGAGGGCAAGGCCCTTGTCGGGGCCGAGGAAACGGAAGGCTTTCATGGTAGGCCGAGCTATTGTGCGCAAGAGAGTCTGGAAGCTGAAAGGTCCTGTCAATTGTCTTGCTACTTCTTCAAGCATCGCTACCGAGCTCTTTTGTAGTTCTACATCCGCGCCGCTATCAGACTCAACGGGCATCTTGATACCTCAGACAAAGCAATCGTGAGATTGTCAGTGGATTCGCTGCTGTTAATAAACGATGATTCATAATGAGTTCAAACCTTAAGTTGCGGGATGGCCATATAGGGTAATTACTTGTCCAGGCGTACCAGGGCACCCTTGATTAGCCCAGGCTCGGCACTTACCCACCTCAGCATGGAAGTGGGCAGCTCCAGCGATAGAAAGTGGCAACAAGGCACACCGGCAGAAGTGGTGCATCTATCTAGGCAGTACGAAGAGTATCAGCTAGGTAGATGCATGCAAAATTGCCAAAGCCAAGCAGATGTCGAAGCGACCCCAAAGGATCCAGTGGTCAGTGATGCCAGACACCAAGTCATCAATTACTACTCATATTCTCAAGCTGCCCATCCTTCAATAACTTCATAGCTCACAGCATAGTATATCTGTGAGTAATACTTGTGCTGGCATCAACATCAGCATTCAGGGCGTCTCTGAACTCCCCTAGAGACAAACGTCTCTTTGACATGCAAGACTCAATGACTTCGGAATTTCGTCTGAGCAAGCCCATGTTGACTAAACTGAACGGGCCTTCCTGATCAAGTGTCCCCACAGCGCTCGCCCAATCTTTGGAGGCATCGAATCCCTCGGGGACTCCTTTGCCAGTCGAACCGAAGGAGAACATGATGATCGTTCTGCAGCCGTCGCCACCACCGCTCTCGCGAGCTTCATAGCTCAAGGAGTAGCCTCTAGCAATCAAATGACTGGCAATAGCGGCAACTGCGGCGACGGTGCTCGGGGAGGTGGGGGGAAATGGCCACTCAACAGAGCCAATCCATTCAGCTGTCGCCGCTTTTCCGCCATCAGCTGGAGCATCCCAGTCGATAGACTTTGCGAGCCCGGGTAGCTTGTCACTAAGACTTGCGGTTAGCGAAATCTCGTTCTTGTCAATAGGGGTTAATAAGCTCTCACATCAGAGATTGCAGCCCATATGAACTCTCAGCTACAGTGTTTACTTCAGCCATGATGAGACTTTGCGGCCGTCGCTTTTGAGCAGCATGCCAGGCTACAATGTTAGCCTGGGTGGTGTTGTACGTCGCTGTAGGTTTCCCATCAACATCGACATGGATGCTAGCCGTAGGACCGCTGACCGTGGCACAGAATCCAAAGTCTATTTTGCAGGCTCTGGTTTCTCTGGCAATGTTCTCGAGATTCAAGTCCTCGTGGATGGCTTGGTTGAAGATGCCGATGAGGAACTGCGAAGTAAGAGACCCGTAATAGCTCCCGCTGGTTCCGCTAATTCCATTTCCAAGTGATCCAGCATGGGCAATCATGGAGGACTGATCCATCATTGATGAGCCGTGAATCAGGTCTTTTGGTACGTTCAATTTAGTAAGATTTCGGGAATAGTGACTGTATCACCGATACTAGGGTGGCTGGTTTGTTTCTTACCTCCGGGATAATGAGCGGTCTGGAGATGTAAAACATCTAGCTTTAGACAGGAAGGAGACGAGACCTCCACTCCATCTATTGAACAGAATCCGCTTCAGTAAATGTCAAACCCCCGACAGTCTTCCAGGTGCAACAAACAAGTATGATCGGTGTCGTTCTTAATTTTGATAGTAAGTGTACGATTTCTTTGACAAGCGGAAAGCCAAACGTCCACCTTGACTCCTAGCAAATCTTGCTCACCGCCAACTGGACTGTCAAGACACGATTTAGAGAAAGTCCAGACTGCGACATAATCTCCTGGCTGATTGTAATCATTATGGAGGTCGATCACATATGCCGGGGACATGATGGAGGCTCTCATAGGTAGAGGAACTTGTCGGTATAGAGTTGTTGCAGGGTCGAACTCTTGATGGCTCATGAGTGATGTCCTGCCTGACGCAAACAGAAACCGGACGGAGCGGACCAGCGGATTATATATACAAACCCTTTTCTGACTGTATCTTGAGTTAAGCTCAAGTTGGAGAGTCCCCCTGAAGAAATCTAAACCTCTCCGTCGCCGAGTGCAATTTGGCCAGTCATCCAATGGTCCACCATTCGCTCAGTAAGTAGGCGTATTTAGGGTGTCGAACCCAAATTCACGGTGATGATTTTCAACCCCTGGCCATACTAAGCCGGGACATGGCATGCTACCCTGCTTCTAAACCAACGGCATGCCTTTTCGACTAGTACCCTTAGGTAGGGAGCTTTAACTCATCTATTGAGACAGCATGATTTGAACACAACCTACTGCATGTCTTGAACAATTTGCAATTTGAACGGGAAACATAGCACTGGAAATGTAGATGCTGAAAATGTGTTGGCATCATCGTCGCACATAGCACTCTAGCCACGTCAGTTGAAGACGTTGAGTCTCAAATTTCAACCTCTCAACGCGATGAGAATCCAAGTTCTGAACTTCCTACTCACGACATTCTACATCTCAGACACAAGACTGGTGAAGTCGTCATTTCTGGGACCGAGAAACCATCGAGAGTCTAGCAGTAAGCCAATGGGAATCAGGAGCACGTATAAAGGGTCTTACTGCAGAGCCTGGGGAACAGTCCATCCAGCCACATAAAGACAGAATAAAAAGGGCCGAATCTCCTCCTGGAGTCTCAGGGAGGTAGACGGTCCTGACGTCTAGCATGTCTCACTAACTTCCCGAAAAGCAGCACGACCCCGACCAAAGTAGGAGTCTGAATGGCTGTGGCGTAAGCAAGACTGTATTGAGATAGGAAGAGGACCGGAATTAGGAAAGAACGTTAAACGACGTATGCTTCTATGTTTGGACCCCACGGGGTCGAGGTGGCGCATGGGATGCCCCCGGCCCGGGCCCCGGGGAGATGGCACTGGGTAATACTAGGTACCGTAGCCGTGGCGAAACGATGCAAACAACGTTCCTCGTTGTCTGATGGTGCACACGATTGTAACGAGCTAGGAACTCTTGTTTCAAGCGGTCGATCTCTCACTGGGGCTTTCTCTAAATCAGGCAGACTTGACTGCGTCGTACTTCACCTTTTTGCACTTGAATCCATACGGCATCGAGGCGAGGCCGCGATATGGTATAACATCCTTGGCGCTTTTCATAACGCGGAATGCTGTGTTTTTGCGCAGGCCTCTCTGCATATTTGGGTCTTTCGTCATTTGTCACACCCTATTTCAAATACGTTTTACGACAGGCACCTTTAATGGGCGCTTGCTCCGGTATGGATATAGCCTGATCTAACCTCGGCCCTATGGGGATTAAAGAGTGGCTTCGAGGCTGTGTCTGAAGATCCTGCATTATAAAACTGAGAGAAATGTTGAGCTTGAATAAATTAAAATGTGTTGGATTAGCTTTCAGTAGGGAGAGACAGCTTACAGCCTCGGCCCTGTTCGCCATAGCATGCGAGTGCAAATTGTACTTGACACCAACGATCTGGAAGCTTTAACCAATCTACTTCAAATGCACGGAAGCGGATTCGGCAATGTCTGTGACCAATTCTCAAATAAAGGGAATATGGGGGTTAGAAACAAGTCTCAGCCAGTACTGTTGGCTCTGGAGGATAAATGACAGCCGGGGGTGTCCAAAAGTAGGAGTTTTACTTCCATATCTTTCGGTGAAAAGTACCTTTACATGTAGATGTACTCTCTCGAACGGATTATTTTCTGTGCTGGTACCACAGTTACCGTAGGAATGCCAAGGGCGTGTATCCGAACGTTTGCGGATACTCAGAACTCCAGCCTCCATACATCCTGCGAAAGCGCTTCATGGCAGTTGAACCCAGCACCCAGCTACGTAGGGCTCTGACTTTAGGTGTCCTAGACCACGGGTTCAGCCTGAATGGCACATTCACTGAGTCATGATGTACATGTCTTGGAAAACTAGCAGTAGAACGCGGTTTTCCGCCTTCTTTGAGGTTCTCACGTTCCTCGCATCCCACTCTCATGCATGGCCGAAGCCATGGTCTCAGCCCTGTATGATCGTGCCCCCCAGCCCCATGACTCGGCCTGGGAGACTCAGAATCAAGTAGCAAAGTATCTGTACGGTCAACACTCAATTATTTTCCAGCCCTGCGGCTGAGACATTTCACAAAATGTCACCGAAGGACCGCCGAAGGTATCACGCCATGGGCTGACAGGCGTTGAAGACGTGATATACTTCTGCAAGGGTGCGATGTGAGACGGCTCTGCTCCTGAATTCCACTCTACCTTTTCACGCCAAACAACAGTCCTAATTCGGGGTAAATGCACCGAACGTCTCTTCGATCATCAGAGAGTCTGCTGAAGACCACATTGATAATCATTTTGACAAACTTAACACACCTGTAAGGAAGTAGTTAATCTTAGCGCGCCAGCATTAAGCTAGGTACCTAGCTGTGCACTATTCTCACCGCGGATTTGACCCTGGAAGAACCATGTGGAGAGCTGTCGGCCAATCAAATGTTCACCTATCACTTAATTGTCAGATTCTCTGACGCAACGACGGCTGACTCTTTTCTTTACCCCGCCCTCGAAGACTTTGAACAACAATGGCGACGGAAGCAGAAGCAGTGAGAGAAATCCAAGGGCTGTGTCCCTACCGATACTCTGCGTTACCTTCAGAGAATTCTATTCGCCTTTTGCAGATCTTCCAGGATAGTTCCTCCGCACAAGGCTTCTTGGCACGACTAGAGACCTACGAGCTTGATGATGCGCCCCCATTTTGGGCGCTTTCATACACATGGGGCCCTTCGGAGTTTGATGAGGGGTCAAATGCTTCAGAGAAAACAGAGACGCAGTTTACTCATTTAGTATGCGATGGTGGGCGACTCCGAGTTGGCCAAAATCTTTTCGACTTTCTACGCCAGTTCAAGAATGACATTGCTTTCTACGCAGAATCATCAGAGCTCGGACGCCAATCCCGTAGAGCTAATCATTCGGATCGTTTGATCTACCCTGAAAATGGCTATAACCTTTGGGTCGATGCTATTTGTATAGACCAACAAGAGAGCCAAGAAAGATGCCACCAAGTCCAGCTCATGGGTCAAATCTATGAGGCTGCAAGAAGT